CCCAGCCGCAGAGGCGGCAGGAAAGCTGTGAGCGACGCCGACAGGGGACTTAACAGCTACACCTGCAGCAGAGCCAGTGGCAGCACCAACGGAGGAACCAGAGGCAGGAGCTCAGAGAGCAGCGTCGGGGCAAGCCGGTGCTGAGACCCAGGCGTGAGTCTGCATGGGAGCCTTGGAGAAGAGGTAACGAGAGGGCGTGTCCAACGGGCCCCCGTCGGGCTGCACAGGAGGGTGGCCAAAGACCCGGAGTGGGATTAGACAGTGGACCTCCGCGGCCCATAGCGGCCTCAGGAAGAGGCGGGGAGTTAACACCCCAGTGGGGTGAGCTGCCAGGGCGGTGGAACCCGAGCCCAGGGAAATCCATGCGGCCCAGGGGCCAGAGGCACCCTTTTGGGCCTCTCGGCCCAGTAGTTTACAGGCCTTAGTTATCATGGTGGTGGTCAGGCATGTCACGTCACAGGGTGTTTATAATAGGGCGATAGGGAGTCCTATTGGAGGGACTAGGCCATGGGACTTCGTGGACCTTATACCAGGCCCGAAGACGCAGGCACGCGGCTGGCAAGCCATAGGCAGAAGTTGGGGAGTGCCCGCCATAAGGTGCGACAATCCGGGAGACTGCCCCGAGGGGGAACCCCTCCACTGAAGCAACATACAAAGTCGTGGCAGGAGAGTTAAGGGGACCCCCTGACGTCAGCAGGGGTAGCCTGTAGGGTCCACCCGCGAGCCCGGGACACGATCCTTAGTCCGGGTGAAGACCGGGCAGGAGCGCTTAGTCGAACGGAGGCAGGCAGAGTCAGCAATGCATTAATCCTTGATTTTAGAAAAGCCAACTTTCATAAGCTCAGAAGGCTGGTTGCCAAGGTCCTGAGAAGCCATGATCTAATTGATAGGGGAGTCCACAACAAACGGTTGCTCCTTAGGGATGCGATCCTTGAAGCACAAGGGAAGTCCATCCCAGCCCATAGGAAAGGTAGCAAAAGGGCTGGACGACCTCTGTGGATAAAGAGGGGACTCATGGACCTTCTGAAAAGAGAAGCTTATAAGGGTTGGAAATCAGGTAACATCAGCAAGGAGGATTATTCAGCACTAGCCCACACCTGTAGGGAGCAAACTAGGAAGGTCAAGGCCAAAACAGAACTCAAATTGGCTATGGGAATCAAGGACAAGAAAAAGTCCTTCTTCAGATATGAGGGTAGTCGGAAAAAAACAAGGGCAACACTGAACCCTTGCTAAACCAAATGAGGCAGCTGACAACTGACACCCAGGAAAAAGCTAATCTCCTTAATGATTACTTTGCGTTGGTCTTCCACTAGCCCAACAAGACACAGAATTGACAGGGTATGGGTGAACACATGTCCGTCATTGGCAAATATCTCATGAGGGAATACCTTGAGAGGCTGGACATCCACAAATCAGCTGGCCTGGATGGAATGCACCCAAGAGTGCTAAAGAAACTGACTGACATCATAGCACAGCCAATGGCAAGGATATTTGAGAACTTGTGGTGCTCAATAGAGGTTCCTGAGGATTGTAAGAGGGCCAGTGTGGTGCCAATCTTCAAGAAAGGGAGGAAGGAAGATTCAGGAAACCACAGACCAATCAGTTTGACCTCAATCCCTGGAAAGATATTGGAAAAAATCATCAAAGAAACCATTAACACCAGGCTAATGGAAAACAACATTTTGAAAGATAGCCAACATTGCTTTGTTGTGGGTAGATCTTGCCTGACCAACCTCATTCCCTTCTATCGCCAGGTGATGCATCACCTAGACAAAGGAGAATAGGTTGATATCATTTATTTGAACTTCAAAAAAACCTTTGACTTGGTCTCCCATGAAGTCCTCATGGTTAAACTGGGGAACTGCAGCCTCAACAACCTTATGGACCAATGGCTCAGGAACTGGCTCTGTGGTCGGACCCAGAGAGTGACAGTCAATGGAACCATGTCAATATGGTGCATGGTGACCAGTGGTGTCCCCCAGGGCTCCGTACTTGGATCTCTTTAATATATTTATAAACAATCTGGATTCAGGTATCAGAAGCGGACTGGCTAAATTTGCTGATGACACCAAACTATGAGGAAGCATGGTCACACTAGAGGATAGACTGGCGATTCAGGGTGACCTGGTCAAGCTTGCAAGGTGGGCAGATCAAAACCTGATGGCATTCAACACTGAGAAATGCAAGGTGCTCCACCCCAGGGGAAAAAAATCCACATCATACCTACAGGCTTGGCAGTGTACACTCACTAGCACCATGAATGAAAGAGACTTGGGGTCATGACTGACTACAAGATGAACATAAGCCACCAATGCGATGCCGCAGCCAGCAAAGCAAACAAAACCCTGGCTTGCATCTATCAGTGTATCTCAAGCAAGACCCAGGAGTCATCCTCCCACTGTACTCGGCCTTGGTGAGGTCGCAGCTGGAGTACTGCATCCAGTTCTGGGCTCCGCATTTTAAGAAGGATGTAGAGAAGCTTGAGAGAGTCCAAAGGAGAGCCACGTGCATGATCAGAGGACAAGAAAACACACCATATGAGGAGAGGCAGAGAGACATGGGACTTTTCAGTCTGGAGAAGTGAAGGCTTAGGAGGGACTTGGTGGCAGCCTATAAGTACATAAGTGGTGTGCACCAGGAACGTCTGTTCACCAGGGCATCTCCAAGGGAAGAAAAGGTCTAACAGTCATAAACTCCAGGAAGACCGGTAAAAAAACTTCTTTACCATCCAAGACCGCAGAGTTTGGAATAGACTCCCCTCAAAAGTAGTGCAAGCACCTACTCTGGACACTTTTAAGAAACATTTGGATGCCTATCTTGCTGGGATCATTTGACCCCAGATGACTTCCTGCCCCTTGGGCAGAGGACTGGACACAATGATCTTGAAAGGTCCCTTCCAGCCCTAAAGTCTATGAAATCTATGAGATAAATCTGGCTGAATGTAGTATCAGACTTAACTGATTGAGCTAAAACCAGTTTATGGAACTTCTGTCCCAGACCCCTTCCTGGCTTAAGTTAAACCAGAGTCCCCTAGTATCCCAGCACACTCTTCAGCCCTGGGCTAGGCTGTGCTCTTGGCTCCAGGGGAGCAGGGCTGGCTCTGCCCCTCTGCTCTTTAGCAGGTGGTGGGAGCATGGCCAGATGCCAGGATGCCAGCCCCCCTAAGGTGAAGGGGGCAGGGAAGATGTTTATTTACCCCCTCCCTCCCCTGTCCCACCAGCACAGAAACCAGCTGGGGTCTGACAGGCAGGAGTGCAGCAGCCCCTGCCAGGAATTTCTCCACTCGCTGCTCCAGTGGTGGAGGTGTGGCCAGCCCTGGCAGGAGCCTCAAGTGAACTGGCCTGGGAAGGGGTTTAATTCCCCTCTCCCTGTGGCACTGGCATGGACCTGAGCTGGGGTCTGCCTGGTGCTCCCCCCTTGCTGCTCCAGCAGCAGAGGTGTGGCCAGACACTGGCTGGCATGGCCCCCTGAGGCAAAGGGGTTTCTCTCCTCCACCCCCTCTTCCCCTGGAGGACCGCAGCCAGGTTCTGCCAGCCCCAATCACCACCTCCACTGATTGCTCCCTGCATGGGACGAGCGGCAGAATAAGCTCCTTCCCTGCTGTCTCTGTCAGATGCCAGAGGGAGGGGGAAAACAACCCTCCTCCCTGCCTCCTTCACCTAAGGAGGCCATGCTGCCTGGCCTCTGGCCACACCTCAGCCCCTGAAGCAGCAAGGGGGGAGCAACCCTCATGGGGCAGCAGCCCCTGTTATGGTTTGCTGGGAGCACAAGCCTCTTCCTAATGGGGAGGCTGTGCTGCAGGCAGGAGCATGGTGGGCAGAGCTACCACAGACTGTGCAAGGCAAGCAGGGGTACCAGGGCTCAAAGAGCTGGTCATACTCCCCCCTAGCACCACTGCTGCTCACTCTGTGTAGTCTGTGGCAGTTCTGCCCACCCCGCTCCCATCCACAACGCAGCTTCCCCACCAGGAGGAGGCTTGCACTCCCGGGAAACCATGACAAGGGCTGCTGCCCTGTGAGGGTCGCTCCCCCTTCACTGCTCCAGTAGCAGGGGTGGAGGCATGGCCAGAGGCTGTCCGGCATGGACCCCTTAGGCGGAGGTGGCAGGGAGGGTGGTTATTTTCCCCCTCCCTCTGGTGTCTGGTGGAAGGGGCAGTGAAAGAGCTTATTCCGCCACTTGCTCCAAATAGGGAGCGATTGGTGTAAGCGCAGATCAGGACTGGCAGATCCCAGCTGTGGCTTCCCAGGGTCAGAGCAGGCAGAGAAGGCAAAAAATCCCTCCATGCTCCCTTTGCCTCAGGGGGCCATGCTGGCCAGCGTCTGGCCATACCTCTGCAGCAGCGAGTGGGAAGCATCAGACGGACCCTGGCTCAGGTCCATGCCAGTGGGACAGGGAGGGGGAAATTAAACCCCCTCCCTGGCCAGTCCACTTGAGGCTACTGCTGGGGCTGGCCACACTCCCCCGCCCCTGCAACACAGCTTCCCTGCAGCTGAGGGCTGCTCTAGCATGCTCCTGGCTTCTGGTCTGAGCCACTGCAGATATGTGCCTGCATTTCATGAGCTAAAAGTGAATGTCTATTCACTTGCAAATTGGTTCAATCTAGGCAGGTTACACTAACCTGCCATGATTCAATCAATTCAGGCTCCAGCTTTTTGAATATCTGTCCCTAGCCTGAGAGCCCAATTCTGACCTTTTATAAATATATAACTTCTACTGGCTTAAGTGGGATCTGTGCAGTTGTATGTGAGCATAAATTCAGGCCCTAATGGTATAATGATTATAGTAAGCCTTCATACAGCGTATTCCTTTTCCAACATAGAGCTCTATTTTAGAAATTTTAGAATGCTATTTAATGTCTTTCAAATTCATTGTTCTTGCATTTTGTAATATAGCCTCTGTGAGGGGAAAAATTATTCCTTAGTTAAAAAAATTATTTTGGTAACTTACTCAGATGTTGTTTCAGCATCTAGTAGATCAGGGTCTTTTCTCCAAAGAACTGTGATGCAGGATATGTTGTCATAGAATGCAGCAAAATGTATAGCCATCCATCCGCGATCATCAGATAATTTATAATCTGCCTTCAGTGCCAGGAGACAATTAAGTGCTTCAACAGATCCACACTGAGCTGCCAGGTGTAAAGCAGTAGGACCTAAAACTAATGCACCCACCCAACAGAAAGATGATATACTGAGCTATATATTCCAAACAATGCACAAATAGGCTGTATCTGTAAGATACAATGTAAAATTTCCACATATTTAGGTATCTTTTTTCTAGTTGGTATCTAGTTTAGGTATCTTTTTTCCCCATTGTTTTCATGCTGTTTTAACATATTCATCTCTTATTATGTCAGGTATTAATACAACCTGAAGGATTCTCAGGAAAAAGGAAAACATCTGGATGCCTCAAGAAATTTAAAATCAAGAATAAAACCCTCACACAACTCAAAAGTTGTGTTCTGTTCTTTTCAAAATAAAAACAAATAAGTATCATGCCTTCCATATCATTGAAGTAACAGATAACCTTATTTTCACATCTTCCAAAGTCTTGGACAGACTTAGGCTATGTGAAAACTCACTGCAGTTTCTTAAACCATGAACACCTTTATTTTAAATAAAAATATTCATTTTGTCTTTTCTTTAGCTATTAGTCTTTCATGCTTCCTTATTTATCACTCACCATTTCTCTTGCCAAAGCTCTCCCTGTCCTGAAAAATAGTTTTTCCTGAAAGTAAGCATATTAAATATAATCAAATAAAATTACAACATTTTGACAGCCTGGAAGATCCAGGACCCCTTATGAAAGAATATGAGCAGTATTTGCACAGCAGACAGTGGAAAATGAACTATCTTCTCTATATTCTTAAACAAGGTGGACAGCAAGCCAATGAACTCTTAAGATATGGAATCTACACTCTAGATTGAGAGAAGTGTGGATGGTAGAAAGCTCTACTGATGACTGCAAAATTTTCTATTGCAGATTCCAAAGATTATCCCTGGGACTACTAGGAGGTTCCAATGACAGTAATTTTGAAGCTTCACATATTGGGACTATTTTCTCATGCCTAGAACTGTGTTCACTACAGATGAAAGAAGCAGGCAAAACTATGAACTACCCAGCTAGTTATCCATTCAATGGTTCTGAAAGGGTCCATCTAATACCCACTACAGGTTTCCCTCGCTTTATGTGGATTCTGTATGTGCAAATTTGCTCTTATGCGATGACCCTTTTTATACCAAAAATTCATTATATGCGAGGTAAATTCACTCTTATGCGATCTGTGTGGTGGAAACCCACAGTCAACTGCTTTGTGCAGTTCATTGTGGGAGTGACGAACACCAAAATATAGTCTCCTGTGTGGATCTGTGTTCCTTGCTTGTTGTCTGTGACACGTGTTTCTATAGTTGCCATCCTCATTATGATAGTGCCCTGTGCTGTGTGTTGGTGAGTACCAAAATTGTCATGTAAAAGTGGTAGAAATGGGTCTTGGGGTCAGTACAGTTGAGGTCTTGGAACATATCCCGATTTGTTACTTGTAAAGTGTGTTCCCGTTATGTGAATTTGAGTTATGCTTTAGGAATGCATGTACAGCATAAAGCAAGGGAAACCTGTATATGCATAATGCATCTTAGGCAGTTAGTCATAATTTCTGGTTCTACTGGGAGATTTTCCTTAGTAAAAAATGAGCGGAGACAAGATTTGTCCAGAGGACTAATTTCTAGCTTTCAGAAAACTACTGAATCTTCTCTTTCCTGTTCACATACACTACATATCCATAATTACAAAAATATGTAACAGTCTCACCATATTCAATTTACAACTTACCAGTTTTTCCCACCTTGATGTCACTTTTATATACACGTCTGCCTAAAACAAAATATAATTGCAATCACTAGCTTCTATAATATTTTATAGATCTATGTATTGGATATGTCATAAATCACACAAAATGGAATCTTAAAGGCTACAGGGAATAATGAAAAGCGTAAATGTGACCACGATAAAAGCAGAAGCCAAAATTTACAAAAACACGCACCACAGGCAACAGGAGAATTTCTGGCAAGTGAAGTCTGCTGTTGCTCAAAAGTTCCAAGACACTGATACTTCCCATCAAATAGGTTATTCCTACACAAATTAATTTGTAACCCCTTTCCTGACCACAGCCAGAGGCCTAGCTTTCTGATCACGGACACCTTACAAATGAAAGTGGTAGAAAAAACAATATACAAAATATTTATAAAACAAAGCAAAGTAATTGTTTTATCTGGTATTTAGCTTAAGTCAGAAAGTCAAACTTCCTTTGCACTTCAGGCCACATCTAGGCCCACCTCTGCTAGCAACAGGGTAAGAGGTGCTGTGTCAGCCTAGGCTGCTGTGAGGATTAACACAGCTGCCACCACCACCAAACATGTCCCCAACAGGCCTCTGAACCACCAGAATTAGGCAGCAGGCTCTGTTCTCACTCTCCCTGACCCAAATTTCTGGCCCCTCAAGGAAACTTATAGGTCAGGTATCACAGCTCCATAGGCCAGATCTTTGGGCACTCCAGACTTAGGCTGCCTCTGCTTCTCTCTCAGTCCTGAGGAAGGGTACTGTGTGCGTGAAAGCTGACCTAACATCTCTCCCAATTATTCAGTTGGTACAATAAAATATATTATAAAAAACCCTTTGCTTCTCACAAAAAAAAGGAGGGCAACCATGGAGCTTATTCCAATTGTCATGTCAAGAAACCCACAGACTGTGGAGATCCTAAATATAATACAGCTGTAATATACATTGCTGTACCCTACAGATTTTGAATAGAGAGCATGAGACAAAAGGTAGGCTGAATGGCTTCCACAGCTCCTTCCATCCTACTTTACAGATCTAGATCCCCATGAACTCCTAAAGACAGGCTTATTTAAGGTTTAGGAAGGAGTCATGGGGCTGGTATTCCCTCCTTCTACAACTCTCCCAAACAAAGAATTTCGCTTCTGCCCACAGAATGAAAGAATGAATATGGGGCCCCAATATCTTAACTTCCCAACGTATTTCATTATCTCACCTAGGAGTGGGTGAATACTCTGCCTCTGATTTATATTCAAATTGGATTTAATCAGCTGACAGATAATTGCAATACGGTTGTGCATAGAAGCATGATGAAAAAGAGCATAACCTGATTCATCTACAACACAGAGACTGGAGCTAGATGTTTTACGACAAAATGTATGGAAGATAGCAGCTAGTCCTCTCTTAGCAGCAGACTTCATGCCATATGGCAAACTCTAAATCCATGTAAAAAAAGACAGTATTAATATCAAAGAGGCATAAAACATTTACTGGAAAAGGACACAGTAAAGAAGCAACCAATAAGTCTTAAATTGTTGAGCTATGCTGAGACATTTTCAGGAGGTCTAAATCTGTACAGTTCCACTGATTTAAAAGAATGTTCATTAAATTTACATTAGCTTGCGATCTGAGTCTGAAAATAACTACATAAAAGATGACAGTGTTAACTAAATGGCTTTACCCTCTATTCCAGGGATCAGTAACATTTTCCATTTGGGGCCAGAATGATCAGTTTAGATCGGAGGCAGAGGTGGACACAGGCATGGGTGAACTGGGTAGCCACCTGGGGCCTGGAAAGAAAGGAGGCTCGAAAATGGTAATTTAAAAATTATCATCATCATCATCTCTAGCAAAGGGGAGCTCAACAGTAAAAGTTTGCCTGGTGCCACGAGGAGTCTAGGTTTGTGGCTGATTGGAGGTAGATGGCTGCCACCACTAGTGGTGGGAGAAGATATTATTTGGGGGAGGGGGCTGAGGGCCATTGTGGGGCTGGTGGAGGCATGGCAGTGGTGCTGAGAGCTGCTGGGTGCTGCAGGATGGCAGCACCATGGTGCTGCTGCTGTTGCTGGCCTCCGTGAAATTAGTTGCGGGGTGAGGAGGTAGCTAAGCGCTGTTATCCCTGGCCTTCTGCCATCTATGGCTGCCACCACCTCTGTTTCGCACCACCATGGTACAGTGTGTCACACTGAACCCCTCTCCTCCCCACCCCCACACCTCTGTTGGCTGCTATGATCTAGCGCAGGGAGAGCTTCCCTGTTCCTGAGTCCCAGGTGAGTACAACATGGCAGAGAGACCCCTGCCACCAAAGGAATGGGCCATAGGTTGCCAACCATTGCTCTAATCAGCTTCACATTTATGTTTTTAAGGGACAAAACTCTTAAAATAACTACATTTCATTGGTGGAGTTCTATAGATATTACTGAATGTAGAATTTTGTCTGCAGAATTATCACCACTAGTAATGATCTGTGAACCTAAAGCACAGTTTCACTTTCTGATCCAAGGGGGAACAATTTTGACAGTAATTGTTATACCTTGCATTTAATAGCTTCCTTATAGCCAAATCTTTTCTTGAATTGCTCAAGTGACTGCATATCTGTTAATGGCAACCTTTTAGGCTTCAGTGTATTTATTATTTCATGTATTGCTCCCCACCAAGGGGTTTTATACATCTGCTGATAGAAAGCTTCTAATTCAATGGATATCACATAGTAGCTGTAATAAAACAAAACAAAATGTTAAAAAGGATACAGGTTTTACCTGTTCTGTATACTCTGCACTGTAATATTTTATCTTTATTCTGTGACAAGGTAGCTGGCTTAGTGGTGAAGCAGGAAGCCACAGCTGTAGAATATCTTGACTGTAGTAAAGCTTCTGAAATTGTCTCCCATAACATGCTCATAAGCAAGTTAGGGAAATAGTCTAGAAGAACTCTAGATGAAACTACTATAACATGAGTATGTGACTGGCTACAAAACCACATTCAAAGAATAGTTACCTGTGGTTCACTATCACCCTGGGATAATGTTGGGATTCAAACAGACCAAGGCTGTGGAAAATTCTTCTATTAAGAGCAAAAGCCAGATAGCGTAATTTTAAGGATTACTCCAACCGTGTCTTATGGTACTAAGTGGTACTATGCCACATCACTACAGCATTTACTACATAGCTGCTTGCTATATAGTTATGTAATGTATAAAAGTATTGTAATATAAAAATGACATTAGCCATAATGATTAATTCGGTGCTCGGAAGACTGATCAGACTCACAGCAAGTATAGGCCAAGGAGTTCTGGATTAATACTTATATTGCTCCAAGCACTGATCACCAGCACAAGCACTGAACCTGCATTACTTGCGTTTTTTTGTTTTTCTTTAATTCCTTTATGTTTTCTAATATATTTCTGGAGTACCTGCCTTCCCAACCTACAGGTGACCATTCTTTATCAAAGGAAATGTGCTCATCTTATTCACGACACTACTGTTAATAAAGCTCCTCCTTGTGTTTCTTTCTCTTTCTATATCTCCCTTAAAGGCATGTTGCTTTTCCTCCCTAGTGCAGGGGTTAAAATTTCATGCTTTGGTTATATTTGTTGGACCTTTTTTACAACTTGGTAGAACCTGCAGTTCCATAGCTCAGCCTTTCCCTCTATTTAACACTCCTAAGTACATTTAATTTTGTCAGAGTACATAAACTCCTTTTCTGCAAGGTAGTGTTGCCATTGTCTTTAGGAAGTTGTCATTGTCTTTAGGAAGTTTTAGTTCATGAACATGCAAGAATACATAATTAATAGAATCTGCCCAGCACATACACGTTATTTTTATATATTAAAAGTCATATAATATGTTCTTATCATTTTACTTTCCTACATACATATGTCATTCTAATTACTTAAATGGGTTATTAATCCCTATCCAAAATGATCCTGCACAGAAAGGTCTCTCCTAGATCAATCCTATTTGATATTTTCATTAATGACTTAGATGATGAAACTGACAGCATATTTATAAAATATGCGAATTGTACCAAGCTAGAAGAGTTTGCTAATACTTTGGATGATGGGTTAGAATTCAAATGGTCTAGCCAAACTGTAGACATGATCCAAAAAACCAGGACAAAATTCAATAAATATATGTGTAAAGTATAACACTTACAGAGGAGAAATCAAATGCAAAAATATAAACTGTGGGGTTACCAGCCAGGAAGCAGTACTACAGAAAAGGATCTGGGGTTAATGTGTGCCCAAACTGAGTTAGTCAACAGGATGATGCTGTTGTGAAAAAGAGGCAAATATAAGTCCAAGATGTATGAATAGAAGTATCACAAGGTTTGGATGCCACACTTTTAGATACAGACAGACTGAAAAATATCCAAAGGAAGGCTACAAGAATAAAAGTCTTGGAAAACATGACTTATAAGGAAAGACTGAAAGAAAGGGGCTCTGTTTTCTTTGGGAAAAAGAAGACTGAGGAGGAGTGTAGTAAAAGTTCCAATGTGTTAAATAAAACTTGTTATAAAAAAAAAATATTAAACAGACACTTGTCAGGACACTTGTATGGCCTAGGCATACTTAATCATGACTCAGAGCAGAGGCATGAATGTCTATACCAGCCCCACATTTCCTTGAGGTAATTTTATAATATGATCCTGTGATATACACAATAAAAACACATATACTAGTCCTTAGCTGATGTAAACTGTCAGAGAACCACTAAAACTAATGTTTTGTGTCAAGCGGCATCACCACAACAGCTGGCACCATTATTAAAAAAAAAAAAAATCAACATTTTTCTCAGTGTCTCAACACGAAAGAAAGACAGATGAAACATATAAACAAAAGCACATTTTAAAGTTCTCTAATTATTTATGTTTGAATAACAAACACTTTAATAATTTTCTATAGTTGGTACAGCTGAAAATACTTAATAGAAGTTGTGTGGGAAACACTAAAATTACAGTAATTGAAAAACAGGAAAAAAACCCTCCTTTCTCATACTAATATACTGTAAGGAATGTTTTTACCATATATTAGTTTACTTAAATTAAATTGATCAAATCATATTCTCTCAACTGAACTATAATAACCCTCTCTGCACCATCCTAACATGCTCTTTACTATGATTTCTTGTTTTATAGTTCAAATAATCAATAGTTGTTCTGAAAATAGCAATGGACTGAACTACCACTTTTGGCAAGATTTACACATCTGAACATACATAATTATGCATGTTCCTTACCTCTTACCATCAAACTCCATGACTGGTATGGGGTAATGTTCTCTGTATGGTATATCTGGGTCTAGTAACTGGGTCATATTGTTTGATGAACAATTCTGTATGTCATCATAGACAGCCTAAATAAAAATAATTTCTACATTAACTGCAAGGAGAGGTTCAGATCTATAAAGTACTTGTTAGAACTACAACCTCACCAAAGTCACAGGTCACCAAAAGCAGAACAATTTAAATCTTATCTGAAATTAGGCAAAACATTCAGACTGAAATCCAAGCTAAGTTTATCTTGACTATCACTTGGTATCTGCATATGGATTGTTGTCAGGGTTGCTAAAATTAAGTTTATGCCTAATATGAAGTTTCCCTCAGGGGACAGTCTTGATATTAGGTACTGAAGCAATGCCTATCTGTAGCCTGGATGGGTAGTTTGACCCTTCCCAAATTAACAGGTTTTGATGCTCTGTCATTTTAAAGTGAGCCTTGTCTCCTACATCCTTATGGTAATTTGCCTCCAACTGGAAGTCTCATGCCAGCAGCCACAGCTGAGAAGGTAGTAGGCATTACCACAGTTCACTTTTTTTCCAGACAAGGTTCTGAACTCTACCATTAACCATGTCTGTGATATTAAAGATGACAAGGGGTACCCTGACCATGATCTGTATAAACCAGTTAAGGAAAAAATCAGGTAAAACTAGATTGCATTAGCAGCTTTTTTAGTACGTGAGGTGAAAGTCCTGTACTGTAGAGTCTAAAGGTGATATTTTGATCCTAATTATATCAGTTGGCATTTTGCTACTGACTTAAATGAAACTAAGATTTCTGGAACAGTAAATGAAAACCTCTCCTTTCTACAGGATGCAGAACATAAAGCATTGACCTGAATTCTCTGTCTACGTACTATGAAGATACACATAAAAGCATTCTCAATCCTAAGATATAATAGAGTCATAGGAAGAAAAAATGGAAAAGAAATACATTTGAGTACATGTAAGCTTTTTAGGAAGTGGAGAAATAATATATCATTCTTCCCTCATTTGAAAGCTTGTGCATTCCATATAATCTGTTACAATACTTTTATGTTACATGGCAATGGAGTGAACAGGTAACAGTGAAACTTTACAAAAGGAAACATGGCTATATTACTGTAGCCTACCTCTACTGTATTTCCTCTACCATGAAACACAGAAAATCACATGGTTTGTTTTTTTTTTTTTAGCAATATAGCTATTTTTAACCAAGTAGAATATTCCCTTATACTGCAAACATATATTCATAAATTACATCGAGAACATTGAACTAAAACCTTGATCTCTTCTGAGACATCCTCAACTGAAGGTGTACCAACATCAAATTCAATTCCTCCATGGACATGAAAATACTCATTCTGTGCACACTGGAAATGTTGGCATTTAAAATCTGGTCCAAGCAAAAATGGAGGCAATTCTCGTTCAGTCTTAACTTTATCATCTACAAAAAGAGACATGCTTTCTTTTAAGGAGCAAACACCATAACAGTAAGTTAGTGTATTAAAGATTTATTTTAATAGCATCTCAAAATCTTAAGATAAAAATAGCTAGACATAGCTATGTTTCAGTAAGGAATCATTTTATTATGCTATTTTGGAATACATATACCCAGACCAAAATCATTTCTGATACAACTTGAACAATTTCAAGAATGTTAAATCAAGGACAAACCTGGCTCACTGTAAAACAACATATATTTATGTTATCTGCCAGTTAGGTGTTATACAATTATTATTCTTAGAATGGACAAATAACTAGTTTTTCACACACACTGAAGTCCGTTTTAAAATAAATTCACATTTTATTAAAGTTTCAGAATATGTAACAGATAATAAAATGGTTTTATAAGCAATTGAAATATATTTGAGTGATATAAAATTTATAAATAAAGCCTTAAAAAACTCTTTTATAATCCTCTTACCTGAATATGGCTGCAGAAGTTTATTTAAATTTGGAATTTTCATCCTTCTTTTAAAACCAATTAAAACTGGAATCAGAAAGCTCACTATCTTTAGGTATTGTATATTCTTACGGATTTCTGTTTTATTCTCTAAGTGCTTCTTCACAAGCTTTTGCTGAAGAGCCAACCTCTGCTGCAACCTTTGGTATGTTACAGTATCGAGGTGATCCTCCGTCATTCTTATCAAATTAGTAAGCCTGTATATTGCATCAAATTTAAACACATTTTAATCCTGGGTAGTACCAAATGTTAACTTCAGTAGTATATTATCTGCATACTGCATAAAGAGACGTTTTTCTTGTGCGCTGTTAGGATCATAAGTTGGATCTTCATTCATGTTTTCATCATAGATTCTCTCAAAATCTGGGTCACTGGAAAGATCAACTAGACCTACATCATGCACAAAGAAGATCTACATAAATATCTATCAGTCTAACAGAAGCTGTTGAAACATACTTTAAAAAGTGTTGCCGGACACAAAAATAATTTTGTACAACGGTTTAGATCTGACAAGTATGTTTTTATTTACAGAATTGTAGAATAGTATCTACTTATCTTTATATTATACCTTTCAATATACAAAACTGAATAAGCTAATTCAATGTTTAACGACACTTGGGACAGACTAAGGAATTACCCTATAAGAGCTGCTCTTTTCCCTCATTGTTCTTTTAGACATGCTTACATTATTATTATTGTTACTAGCCAATTGCCCAACAAGAATGATGGGGGTGGCGGGGTCAGGGGGCTGGAATGGAATGGAATGCTGCCACATAATGCCCCATGCTGCCACTGTTCTGCCTCTTGCAGGGAGCGGGGTGGGGGAGCCGAGGCCAGCAGCGCTTGTCTGGTCCTTTGCGTGGCTTCGGAATCATGGCAGTGCTCCCCCATGCTTGAAGCACTCTGATTGGCTGTTTCCATCAGCCAATCAGAGCGCGAATAAAGCATTACAGACAGACGGGCTTTTATAATATTAGAATTGGTTCATTCACGTATTCTGCAAAACACAGAAATACAACCATAGACCAATGTGTCAAGTTACCTTTCTCAAGTGAATTTAATGCTATTGAAAACGCCAAATAACCAGTCCTAAAGCACAAAGTCTCTACTTAGCTGTAGAATAGTTAGAACTCTGATGTAGCAATCTAATCATCCCCACATTCCCTCACCAGTGGGCCTTGTTTGTACTCTGGTAGAAACACCACAAAGTGTGAAAGAGCAGTTACTCTCATCTTAAACTACCCATTAGGACCTGATTAAGGTCACTGGAAAATCACTGGTTTTAATAGGACCTGGGTGATTACAAAGCCACTCCAAATACTGGCAGTAATATTCATGCTTGCCCTAAGTATTGAACTAATGACACTAATTCTTATATAACACCAAAGAGTAATGGTAATTGTCTCATTACCAGCTGGATTTAAGGTAGGGCAAAGGTCTCATTACCAAATTGGGATTGAGATTAGCCAGTAAGTGACCTTGCACTATATTTTATTACCTTTCGCTACCATCAGTTATTCTTACAGCTTTTAGAATGTAAGGGTTTATTTCAGGGGTATAGGTTGTAGCTGTGTTGGTCTAAGGACATAGGCAGACAAAGTTCTTTGGGTAAATCAGATATATTTTATTAGACTGACACAAATAGTTGGAAAAATTCTTCTTTGCAAGCTTCTGGGTACAAATGCCCTTGTCTGAAGAATAGTTATTAAGCAAGCTTAAAGGATCCAGACCGTGCCATGACAAGAAAAACCTGCCCCCACATCTCCACCACCTCCACTATTACTACACCCCACAACAGAGCCATCAGCATCCCAGGATCTTACAGCTGCACCTCCAGAAATGTAGTATACCTCATCCAATGCACCAAATGCCCTGATGGAAGATATGTAGGAGAGACCAGACAACAACTGCGCACCAGAATGAATGCACACCGGAAATCCATCAAAGACAGAAACACCCAATTACCGGTTGGGGCACATTTCTCACAGGAGGGCCACTCTCTCTCCAATCTCTCAGTCCTGATCCTCAAGGGAAACTTACACAACACTTCCCAGAGACCGGCCTATGAGCTCCATTTCATCAACCTGCTGGATACTAGAGATCAGGGACTAAACATAGACATTGGATTTTTGATACATTATAATCTGCCTGGCAACTGACTCCCCAGCCCAGCCCAGCCCCTGGCTTGTTTACTTTTCATTCCATCCGGGAAGAGCACACAGCCACTGCTGAGGCTTCCTGAGCCTGACGAACGGTTTTGAACCCGAAAGCTTGCTTCATAACTATTCTCCAACCATTTGGGTTGGTCTAATAAAAGATATCAAATTCGCCCAAGGAACCTTGTCTACCTATATGCTTAGACCAACACGGCTACAACCTAAACCCTTGTCTGAAGAACTGTTTTAGTTTCAGCTAAGCCTCATTTATTACATTTTAAAAGAACAGGTTATTTAAAATGGCAACTAATTAAAAACCAAGAGTGAGTGATCTAAAAAACCCTTCATATAAATCATGTTAGAAAAACATTTCTGCTGAATTAGGGCCAGATTTTCAGAGGATCTCAGAACCCGCGTATTTTTATTATTCTCAAATGGACCTGGTGAGTGTTGAATGCTTTTGAACATCTGAAGGCAAGATAAATAAGCTTTCATGAACCCAAGGTTCATTTGTGTGTCTTAACGAAAACCAAAGTCCTTTCAAAATATGGTTATTAAAGTCTATTTATTTTTGTTTTCCAGATGTCCTGCAATTTACCTCTTTTCCAAATGACAGCACTAGCTCCAATGAATACCCCTTACGAGATTTTTCATTTTCCTCAATTCATTTTCATAAATTCCTAAACAACGAATGAAAAAAAACCAATCGGAAAATATTGGATTTTACTCTACTCACCTGCTGAACAAAACTCTGAAACAATGTTTTTTTCTGTTTGGGGCTTCCCATCTATATCAATGTCCATGCTGGAACGCCAGAGCTCAGAGAACCGAACGCGCTTGTCTTTGGGCATATATACCCCATGCCATAATGCTTTTAGCATATAGTCAACGCTAATCAAAATTTGGCCAATTCTGGTGTCAAAGTAAGCTGGAGGAAGCTGACAGGAAGTACTTTGATCATAATTGGCATCTAAGCTGATAGAAGGTATTTGGTTTAAACAGTAAATGCCAACTGCCAATTCTCTCACAATCTGGTGGATTTCTTTGCAGTCCAAAGGCACATCTGGGTCCACTGGAGCCAGCACAACTGCCGTGGGGAAACTTATGTTTCTCAGCTGACTTATCAGTCCACTGGGCAGCTCTAGCGGATGGCGCAGGTCATCTTTCGAAGCCAGCCAGCTAGAAGAAGCAGTAGTCAGCAATTCCTGCAACTCACTGCGGTCAAATTTGTCAAAGAAGGCACTGGCATTTCTGTGAACTGCTAGGTTTGCTAAGTACGTTGCCTCATCTGCTGGCTCAACTCGAGGCAGTGTTTTCCTGGAGGGCCTCAGCATCCTTCAACAAGTGCTTCCCACACCAGGCTCCTAAGGAAACACAAGACACACGAGCACCATGGTTATTTAACGAGATGTTGGAGTAAATGAACGATGGGTTTCTGTCAAGGATGGGATTCAAATACACATCTGAACTATCCCAAACTATTTCAAGATTTCCCGTATTTCGAAATGCTCCCCTCCCCCCACCCCAGGCCGAGTCCCCCCCGAAGCAGGCACAAGCCTGGTGCCGGGCCGCGCTGTGGGCCTGCCCCGCCTGCTTTTCTTTCTAACTGTTTTGCTCTTTTTTGGAGACTGGCACCCGGGGCTCCAGCCCCTCCGCCTCTCTGGAAGAAACGATGAGAGCGGCGCTGTCGCAGGCCCGTTTTACAGGCGAGCCGCGCAGGGAGCCCAAGCAAAAGGTTGGAAACAGGCAGAGTCGCGGGGCGCCGCC